GTCTCGCTTCACACACACGCACACACACACACAGCGCTGCCGAAATGCTGTCCTCACCACTGAGAACAGCGCGGCTCTTGCTGCTGCTCATCGCAGTGCTCTCGTCGACACTGGTTCAGGCGATCAAGTTCGACCTGCCCGCAGCGACGCACCCGCACACCAAGTGCATCTGGAACTATGCCCTCTCGGACTCGCTCGTGATCATCACGGCCAACACGATCGCCAAGGAGCCGTTCGACTTTTCGAATCAGCGTCTCGACGTCGAAGTGGTCGACGGCAGCAAGCACAACAACGTCTACCTCTCCAAGAAGAACATCAAGGGCGAGACGCGGTTGGCGATCAACACGCACTCGCATGCGGATCTGGGCGTCTGCTTCAAAAACACCCAGACCTCCAAATCCTCCACCGCACCCGTAGTCACCATCGACCTGGACGTCGACATTGGCGCAGACGCAGTCGACTACAACGCCATCGCCAACCAGGAAAGCCTCAGCGGCCTCGAAACCGAGATGCGAAAACTCGAGGCCGTCGCAAACGAAATCGTAAACGAAATGGAATACCTCAAGAAACGTGAACTCCGAATGGCCGACACCAACCGTAAGTCTCGTACACCCCCGAAAGATTCGCAGAGAATGCCGAACTGACACCCGAACTTGGCATCGCAGTATCCACCAACATGCGCGTGACCAACTTTGCCATCCTCACCCTCGTCGCCCTCATCGCCCTCGGATTTTGGCAGGTCTTCCACCTGCGCGGCTTCTTCAAGCGCAAATACCTCATCGACTAGAACCCCCACTCTGGCCCCCTGGTGACCATGCACAAATGTCAAAAGTCTACAACAAAGTCCACCTGCAGAATGTCCGTGCAGTTTCTCGTATCCGCCTTGTATCCGCCTTGCTCGTCCTGAGCGATTCACTCACGCACACACACCACAGCCGTCGGGGCGAACTTTTCAACGGATCTACAATTGCACACAACGCCAGAGCTACGGCGCCACAGCTGAGGGTGACTCGTGCTGGGGTGGGGTTTAAGCAGACTTGTTGGTGATGACCTTGGGGGCGGTCTCGCCCTGGGTGAAGCCGTCGATACCGGCGTACACGGCCGAGGGCTCGAGGCTCTCGATGCGGAGGAGCTGGTTGTACTTGGCAGTGCGCTCCGATCGGCAAGGAGCACCGGTCTTGATGATGCCGACGCCCAGACCGACGACGAGGTCCGAGATGGTCACGTCCTCGGTCTCACCGGAGCGGTGCGACACCATGACACCCCAGTTGTCCGACTGGGCGAGCTGCGCCGCCTGGATCGACTCGGAGATGGTGCCGATCTGGTTGATCTTGAGCAGCAGACCGTTGCACGCCTTCTTCTCGATGGCCGTCTTGATGCGCAGGGGGTTGGTGACCGTAAGGTCGTCGCCGATGATGGTGATGCCGGCGTTGGCGCGCAGGTGCGACCACGCCTCCCAGTCG